TCTTTCCAGGGATAATTTGTTGCCAAAAGCCAGTCATTCTGTTTGAAGTACATGTAAGAAAAATGTTTTAAAAATGTACAAAAGGATGAGTATTCATAATCAGACAGTATGACAAACTCGAGCAAAACATAGGGCATCTATGTTTTATTTAATAGATGTTGTTACGTGTATTTTCATATATAACTTTCATTTGAAAAAATAGCAGTGTAAATTGAAAATGTAAATATTTCATTCAAATGAATAAGATTGTCATTATACATATTAACAACGTCGTTATTTCTATTGCATTTAGACTTATCGATTTTGAAATGAACGTGTTTTACTTTGTTTCAATATACCGTCCTTTAAGGTTATGAATTGCAACTTTAAATACATTTAACTACGTTTTATCTCTTCATCTTTTTTTCTAAATTTCGGTAAAACCTTCCATATATAATATGACTGATTTTGATTTAATTGTTTACTGTATGAGTATACAGCATTTGTTAACAGGTGTCTCGGAAAACAGTTGATCTGTAGACCGTTGTGGAAACTTGTGAAAATACTGACCTGAAAGATCAACTGTTGTCCTCAACCCCAGTCACACTACTTTAATTTAATTTGATCTAAGTTTTTTATGTCAATTTGTAATAATTATCTAGAGTCGATCCTAACGACGTGGGTTCAAATTCCATTGTGAGATATGGAGTGTGGTTCTTCGGGTGAGACCATAAAACCGAGGTCCCGTGTTGCAGTAGGTGATAGTATGGAAAAGATTCCTCAATGCTCATAGGCCCTAAGTGCCAAGTTTAGGACAATATTTGCAGCTCTTCACCCGCAAGTTGTGGCGTCTCTATATAAGTGAAAAAAAATCGTGAGGAACGTTAAACAATATATATACAATTAGTCAATCAGTGCCAAAAAAATGGCCAGAGAGGGATCAATAAGATGCTTGGTCACTTTCAAATTTGATGGTTATTGTTTGGTGTTTGATAATACAATAATGATCGAAATGGCTTAAAACGTTTAGGACGGATGTATTTTCAATATGCCAAAGGCAACAGCAAACAAACAAATTTGTATTTTAGTCCAGGCCTAGGTGTTCGATAAATGCTAAACATTTGTCACTAGATTGTGTATATTTGTTGCAGTCATTTTCAGTTAATGACATTCTTTGAAAGGTGTATTGAAATGAAATACTGGACATGTTTCTGTGTATATATGACATGATATGCGACACATGCGCATTTTAATGCTGATACTTCCATACATTGACAAAGAAATGTTTCACGTCGTACAGTATTATCGAATTCAAGTAAAGATATAGCTTATTACTCTGTAACGTAAACAATTATATTTACTCTTATAAAATACTGTATGACAGGTGTTATCGATATCCATTACAATATTTACCCTTTCATAATATTGTATGACAGGTGTTATCGATATCCGTTACAATATTTATGTATAAAAGTAAAAGCTCAACACTGCTTGATCAGAGAGATCCTGGACGCCTACAAAAGGTGATGTGTACTTTTATATTACTCAGACTTAACTCAATATGAGTTAAGTCACGTTATGGAGACAAATAGAGATATGGTCCAGGAAAGATAACTCTGATACAAATGTATATAACTGCTTAGCCACATCCATTACGCATGTGCATTTTGCTCTTCCTTTTCCATCTTCTGTTATCCATTGAAGCTCAGCATTGAATTTCCTAGGGATTGTTTCGTTAGAATAACTTATACACAGACATTTAGTGAGGACAAGCGACATGTAAGGAGTTTTGAAAGCCTAACTGACTTTTATGATAAATGTGAGTACACGCAGTGATGTTTTGTGATGTTTTGTGATGCTAGGTTAAACACGCGGGAACTGCAAACAAAGAACTGATTAAGAAGGATTTATCTTCCTAACTCTGGTATGAAAACATTGATATTCCTGGCTTTCCGTTAATTTCATCAGACTTGTAAATATTCTGATACTGGCATACTGATTTTCAAGCAAGATAACAGAAAACAACGCTGACCGCAGAGATTACAATTATGACACACATGTGCAGGAGAGAAAATAGAAATCACGTGATCAAAACATGGCAGCATCAAATTTCCCAAACGAAAATCAGGGGAGATCTCAAAAGTAATTTTTCAGTCACAGTGGGAGAACTTACTATGAAATAGCTACACAGCTCTGTTTGAAAAAGATGACACATTAAGAGTTGCAATATGATTGAGTATAACGGGAAAGAATGATTCAGAATTTACAAGCATCTCAACATAGTAAAACAAGACTGCAAAAAAAAAAAAAAAAAAAAAAAAAAAAAAAACAATACTGGAAGCCATGCGAAAACACTTTGAACTGGCAAACGGATCCATACCTAAGGGCCCATCCATATCACTCTATGTGTGAACTACCTGGGCATACACAGCTAAAGTATCAACTTCGGAAATGGCCCCCAACAACTGCATTAACCGCATGTTCAGCAACCATGGCAACAGACGTTCTACAGCATCGCAGGCATCATGTGTAATTCTTGGCTCTTCGTTGAACTTAACTCCTTAGTCACTTTGACAACCATTGCAAGTCAGTCAGGTAATAGATGACTTTATATAATTTACAAAAAATATTATTCATTGCCGGGTTAATATGGGGTCAACCTGCATAATACACTGTTTTCCCTCTCATAAGGCCTATAAATTTTATGGGACAATGTCTTACAAATACATTCTGTATGAATATGCCCCCTGCATGGCATATACGCATTTTTACGCTTCTCACTTGAGAAAGAAAAAATAAAACATTCATAACTTCGTCAATACTGGAAATATCCGAATACATCTTGCACCATTGGAAAGAGAAAATAAATACGTAAAATAAAAAAAAAATAAAAAATAAAAAAAAAAATGAAAAAATATTGGTTGTACCAGTATTTTGCTAGCTTGAGTAAAACTTCGCGCACTATTTCAGCGTTTTTGCCATTATCGAAATAAATGCAGGGATAACATTTTATCTGTAAAAATGCTAAATTCTGGTGTTTACATCCCAACCCTACCTTATCCCCCCAAATATTTGTTAACTAGAATGAAACTCATTATTTAAGGGTACTTACCACAAACAAAAAATGGATGCGCGGGTTGATATATATTTTTTGACTGATTTAGATTTGTATTGATATAAATAATAAATCCCTGAAATATAAAGAAACCGTAGGTTTTCCTTGGTGCTTAGATTTGAGATTTTATTTTGCCTTCTATATAATTCCATACAAAATTTTGCACAATTTTATAACTTTATGACAAAATCTTATAAAATCCTCCCGCTCTACTTTGTAAACATTATTCAGGTTGTCAGTTTAAATGTAAATCTATGAAAAATAATGCTGATATCTGAAAAAAGTTTGTTTGTGTTATTTATCCTTAATAAATAGAAATTGTAGCATGATTATGGTGTATTTCGTTGCCATGGCAACTGAAATGAAATTTATAATCATTTTCAGAAACAACACAATACCTGCTATATAATATTATACATTGATATATAGATAAATAATATACAAAAACTACAAGAAATACCCGGAAAATGCATCGTAATCTTCATATCAATTTGTCTAGAAATGCTTAAAATCTTTGCCATTGAAGGGTTATACGCTTTTTATGTTGCCTTTTATGTTGCCAAAACTAAGGCAATGCATTCCATACAAGGGGAAGCCCTCTCAAACATTAATTAGTGTTACTCATGATTGGACAGCACATGCCGCACAGCAAATATTAATAAAAATATGGACTAAGGAATACATAGGATTGATAAACTGTGCTGTCAGAAAGCGATCATTAAAATGAACAAAAGGTTCCCATTGTTGATGGTCAGTTAATTAAGCAGCCAAAGCAAAGTACAAAGAAAACTACTTACATTCAAATGTGGTCTGACGCATTATTGATATATATTTAGGGCCTTTTTGACAAGGCACTCAGTTGACATTCAAGGCATCCTCAATTAGGCCTATATGCTAATACACTGTAATTAGACTAGGGGCCTTTTGATATCGTACAGGGGGTTGGTTAGAATATAATTTAGTCTGAAAATGTCAAAGAATTAACTTCCTTATATCGAGGCTCAGTAAATGCCGGGCCATTCTTATTGTACATGTCAAATTGCATGCAAACTCAACAAACATACTTTACACTTAAAACATTAATAAAGGCATGTCTCATCATAACAATTACCCCCGAATTCATTGTTGCTCAAACATAAACAGCTCCCCATCACCAACCAGAAGGCAAAGGTCTAATCAAACACAGTCCAATCAGCATCCCCCAATTCAATTTGCCCCCCTTCCTCAAAAGAAAACAAAAAAAAAAAAAATAAAAAAAAAATAAAAAAAAAATAAAAAAATAAAATAAATAAATAAATAAATAAATAAATAAATAAATAAAATAAAAAAATAAATAAATAAATAAATAAATAAAAAAAAATAAATAAATAAATAAAAAAAAAAAATAATAAATAAATAAAATGAATTATAAATAAAATTTTAAGCCCCTCGAGGTACTAGTGTAAATGATTTCATTGGCATGGCATTATGCTGGAAAACTTAAATAATGATTATTTTCTTTTGTGGGTTCCAAGGACTCGTCAGATTGGTCGAATCTATCTAAAGCATTGCTACATACATTTCAGGAAATAGAGATCCCAATCAATTCAGAGTTACACCGAAGACCCAACCACTTATTTCTTGGTCTATATATAAATCTTACAAATCAAACCATATTTATTACACATCACAATAGATAAATAAGTAATTAATTAAATAATTAATAAAAATGATGCAAAATTTTTCATTTCAAATTTGCAGTCTAGTAGATTTTCAAGAAATTAATAGTTAATTAAGATTACTAGTGTTATCTTTAAAAATAACATTTAAATCAAAGGGGATCACAGTTCAGGTTACAAGAATGTTACTGCAGACTCTAGTCTATTTCCTTATTTCAGTGGGATCACTTCAAATCCTTGGCACTATGGCTGAAAAATGCCCTTCACAGTTAACGAAGAAATTATTTAATCTCTTACACCACTTGTAGATCCTATATTGAATGCAGCACTTTCAAATACTTTGGCTCCTCTTGTATACCAGATTATCAACCATATACTTTACTTTGCAGGGCTCCATTCCTATGGCACATGCAACTGTATGATGCTATATTAACGCCATCAGCTATGATCTCCAAATACATTTTCAGACCGATACTACGAAACATTTATTGTTAGGAACATATTTGAAGGCTGATCTTTGATTAATCACATAACAAAATGTCTCCCATCAGTTTGTTAAACTTGTATGAAACAATGTTGTTTACTCTGGCCTTCAGTTAGCAATTTTCGACTTTCTTAGAATTAGTGAGTTAACAGTTTTATCTAAAAAATCATTGGTGTTGGCCATAAACGATGGTAAGTTATAGAAAACTCAAATTTACATGCATGTAAGGGGTCCAAAAAACCAATCAGCATGAAACCAAAAAACATCTACTTTATTTAAAACACTCCAAAGCTACTAGTAAGACCCAACATTCCAGGTTTAATTCTGTTCACCTCTGTGGTAAACAATTGTCTTCCATTACCAAACTACTTCAATGTTACAAAATCTATTCAATTTGTTGCATGGGCAATAAGAAACTTAAGTCTCAGTCACTTAGAATTGTGTGTGCAACACAATTGCATCCATCTGGATTGTTCGAAGATAATATAAAGATTAAAGATAGAAATTCAATGCATTTAACCTACATCTGATTATAGTCATAGTCAATTCTGATAATGGGTTGAAATTTCAACAACACAACATCCATATCAGATAGTTTGGTCAAAGAGAATGACCTGGGAATAGGTGGAACCAAAATTCACAATATCACTTTAAATGAATCATATAACGATTAATTAATCATATGAAATGTCCTTGTTTTATGGTATACTGCATACGACAAAGCGCGATTGACTCTGCAGAACTGTAATCGATTGCAGTTTTGTCATGGCATGGGCAAAATTTGCCCGCATGTGGCGGATGTCTTCACATGCTCAGCTTTACTAGCTCTCATGTGAAGACATATGGCCGAATTTTGCTAGAAGCTCGCTGCTGATCCTGTTATCTTCCAGGGTCCGTGGCCAATAATTGGGCTTATGTCATTCTATGAACCTTCTACATCATTCACTGTTGAAAAAGTCGATGTAGTTCATGGTCCTGGTAATACATCGTTACCTGCTCATTGCAATGCAGGTATCATTGTATATCATAGAATATCATTGTATATCATTGAATATTGTTGCATATCATTGAATATCGTTGTATCATTGAATATCGTTGTATCATTGAATATCATTGAATATTGTTGTATCATTGGATACCATTGAATATCATTGAATATTGTTGTATCATTGGATACCATTGAATATCATTGCATATCATTGAATATCGTTGCATATCATTGAACATCGTTGAATACCATTGAACTATCATTGTACCCATTTAGTAGCAGTTATTCAATATACACTTTGTGTACATCATTGCATTGATACCTTATGTACATCATTGTATTGATACATTGAGTACATCATTGTATTGATAATTCATTTGACTATTAATCAATAAAGCCATGACAAAAACTGCCAATCATTGTTAATCTATTTTGTTGACATAATCAGACTTAACTTAATATGAGTTAAGTTCCGTCATGGAGACAAATAGAGATATGGTCCAGGAAAGATAACTCTGATGAAAATGTACATAATGCACATAGCCACATCCATTACGCATGTGCATTTTGCTCTTCCTTTTCCATCTTCTGTTATCCATTGAAGTTCAGCAACCCACCCACCCTCCCCATTTACCAGATTTTAATAGTTGTTATTTTGTTTCGACAAAGTTGTTGCTGCTGTCTTTGATTTATTTTTTCAGGCGTCATCCATTCCATTGGCTATCAACAGAACAATGCGTTATATCCTTTCCCTTGACTACCAACAGAAGACTCCATTACATTTCCACTTGGCTACCAAAAGAAGAGATTCCCCGGCTACCAGCAGATGAATCCGTTACATCCATTCCACTTGGCTACCAGCAGAAGAATCTGTTACATTCAATTCCTTGGCTACAAGCTAAAGAATCCATAAGCGTCATGGCTATTCTTAGGTATCATTTAACGGCGGTGTACTTGGACTTCTTACGGACTGTGAACCGAATTTTGCTAGAAGCTCGCTGCTGATCCTGTTATCTTCCAGGGTCCGTGGCCAATAATTGGGCTTATGTCATTCTATGAACCTTCTACATCATTCACTGTTGAAAAAGTCGATGTAGTTCATGGTCCTGGTAATACATCGTTACCTGCTCATTGCAATGCAGGTATCATTGTATATCATAGAATATCATTGTATATCATTGAATATTGTTGCATATCATTGAATATCGTTGTATCATTGAATATCGTTGTATCATTGAATATCATTGAATATTGTTGTATCATTGGATACCATTGAATATCATTGAATATTGTTGTATCATTGGATACCATTGAATATCATTGCATATCATTGAATATCGTTGCATATCATTGAACATCGTTGAATACCATTGAACTATCATTGTACCCATTTAGTAGCAGTTATTCAATATACACTTTGTGTACATCATTGCATTGATACCTTATGTACATCATTGTATTGATACATTGAGTACATCATTGTATTGATAATTCATTTGACTATTAATCAATAAAGCCATGACAAAAACTGCCAATCATTGTTAATCTATTTTGTTGACATAATCAGACTTAACTCAATATGAGTTAAGTCACGTTATGGAGACAAATAGAGATATGGTCCAGGAAAGATAACTCTGATACAAATGTATATAACTGCTTAGCCACATCCATTACGCATGTGCATTTTGCTCTTCCTTTTCCATCTTCTGTTATTCATTGAAGCTCAGCATCCCACCCACCCTCCCCATTCACCAGATTTTAATAGTTGTTATTTTGTTTCGACAAAGTTGTTGCTGCTGTCTTTGATTTATTTTTTCAGGCGTCATCCATTCCATTGGCTATCAACAGAACAATGCGTTATATCCTTTCCCTTGACTACCAACAGAAGACTCCATTACATTTCCACTTGGCTACCAAAAGAAGAGATTCCCCGGCTACCAGCAGATGAATCCGTTACATCCATTCCACTTGGCTACCAGCAGAAGAATCTGTTACATTCAATTCCTTGGCTACAAGCTAAAGAATCCATAAGCGTCATGGCTATTCTTAGGTATCATTTAACGGCGGTGTACTTGGACTTCTTACGGACTGTGAACCGAATTTTGCTAGAAGCTCGCTGCTGATCCTGTTATCTTCCAGGGTCCGTGGCCAATAATTGGGCTTATGTCATTCTATGAACCTTCTACATCATTCACTGTTGAAAAAGTCGATGTAGTTCATGGTCCTGGTAATACATCGTTACCTGATCATTGCAATGCAGGTATCATTGTATATCATAGAATATCATTGTATATCATTGAATATTGTTGCATATCATTGAATATCGTTGTATCATTGAATATCGTTGTATCATTGAATATCATTGAATATTGTTGTATCATTGGATACCATTGAATATCATTGAATATTGTTGTATCATTGGATACCATGGAATATCATTGCATATCATTGAATATCGTTGCATATCATTGAACATCGTTGAATACCATTGAACTATCATTGTACCCATTTAGTAGCAGTTATTCAATATACACTTTGTGTACATCATTGCATTGATACCTTATGTACATCATTGTATTGATACATTGAGTACATCATTGTATTGATAATTCATTTGACTATTAATCAATAAAGCCATGACAAAAACTGCCAATCATTGTTAATCTATTTTGTTGACATAATTCATTTCAGAAATGATCGCACTGCACTATAAATACATAAAAAAAATGTCATTGAATCTATTTTTTATGGTTTTTTAATGAAAGTTAAGTACTGAAAAGTCCGCTCCGTAAAACTATTTGATAATATTTTATTGGATTGTGGAACTCTGCATACAGGTACGATACATATCAAAATAATATATTTGTGTGTATTGGCTTTTAATGTAAATAAAACAAAATGCCAGTGGGATCACAATTTAGAAAAAATTAAATAATTATCTATTGTGTTTGCAAGTTTAAGATAAACAAAACAACTTGAAGTTCATATAGATCCATCATTTCATTTTATTACTCGTGTTAATTCTGTATTATATGACTACATGTATTTGGGGTAAAAATAAGAAAACAATGGATTGTAATTTTTTGATTGATTGTCATCTTCGCTAGCCAAGGGATTCTGATACGCTACTCTCATAAATCCCTGGCCTACGGTGTTCATAGAAATAGGGATTTTTTTCCAGAGTTTTGATTGGATTTCAGTACACCCAGGTCGACCAATCAGCAATTGTTTTTGTAAATGACGATATTTGCGTTCGGGATACATCTTCACTCTTTAATCTCGGAAATGAAAAACGCAAGTAAACAACGATCCGTAAGATAACATTCAATTATATGAATAGCCATGGTGTCATCCAATATCTTCTAAATATGTGATTAAGAATCTATAATGAAGCTTCAGATTTGTTCTATACATAATAAAAAACATAACTCAATTATTGCTTCTTAATTATTCTTGAAAAAAACTTCGATTTAATTTTTTTAACACGTGTCTTTATTTCTGGCGATGACGCAATCTGTGCGTATCTGATATATTCGAGATCACATGACTGAAAACAATTAATCCCGTCTTTTGACTTCACCGTAGGCCAAGGGTTTATGAGGAGAGTAGCGTATCAGAAACCCTTGGCTAACGAAGATGATTGATTGTATGCTGTTTAACATCCTATTTGTGACCATAATTAAACCTTTACATGGCACTCAGGGTCGTTCAGCAGTGTATATCTTCCATGTCGATGCCTGCATGACATCAGGTCTTGATTTTAAGGTCTTTTTAAGGACCCATTACTTTCAGGTCAAAGTTCCGAGCACGTGGCAAAAGAACAATGGCTATCTGTTTCAGTAATAGTCGGTTATAACGAAGTCACTTGGACCTAGTAAATTAGCTCACTATAACCGTAATTGGTTATATCCATATAAGGAATTCATTAAGTTTTATATAGATGTGGATCCAAGGTAAATTCGCTACATATCAATGAAGTCGGAATATCTGTGTTCGATTTTTACTGTTTTATCAACTGAAGTACTAAGGTCGCGGCCGAAATTCGAACTCATGTGGTTTCGGAATATTTAATATATAATCCTATTCAGATGGTTTTAGCTGCATCTAGAATACTTTAAGTAATTGATAAGGCTTCTGAATATCACCTTCCATTACTTATTTGTTCAAATTTTACATATGATGATTAAATCGTGATCTTCTCTCAAGAAAATACCAAACAACTGTACTTACAAATTTCTTCCAGTATTCTAGCTTTAAAATATATATCTACACCGTCATCTGTAAATATAAAGCTGAACAATAAAGAAAACAATACACTTTATGAATACAAATTTAAAGTAAACAATTGTTGTTTAATTTCTTTTTTTCAGACAAGAAAATTTGTGTTGTCAAATTCTCATTAAGGAAATGCTTTTAAGTACGCCATCTAATGGTCATATTCATTAAGAAACTAAATGCAATTTTTTTTAAACAATCATCTTAAGTTTTCTACAGAAACTGAAAAACAGAATTATAATGTATACGTAATCTATTCATGACGTTGTTATAAACTAGTGCAGCGTCTTACTGGGCTGTGCAGTCTGTGTATACAAACTGTTTATTTAGATGACACTGGTAAATTTTTTTTGCATTGTTTTGGAAATTAAAAATTCAATAAATTATAATCTATAAATTATGATTATTGTTAGCACTTTGAAGTGCATTGCGCCCTATAAAAGAAATGTAGTGTGTGTCCATGAACATGTGTGAAGTCAAAGTCCAAATGTTTAACGTTATAATGAAATTAACCTAACGTCAGACTGGTCCGTACGCGCAATCTGCGATGTTTAAAGACCTCGATTTTTACAAAAATATTAAGTTCCATCAATAAAAATTAAACCATTCTGACTTGGGTTTTCATAAGAAATATTTTGATATATAAAAGATACATATAGAAGCATTTATTTTGACAAAAAGTCATTGTCCACGAACTTTTTGGAAAACCCTCGTAAAGATATAAGTTTTTATGAATCTACTACTTTGAAAATTTCAAATAAATTATAAATTGAAGCAGATTATGATGCATCATTTGAATTGAATTCTAACAAATATTTATTCTAGGTCAACTGACAATGCATCGGAATTGCATCTTTGTTTTGTTGATCTTCATAACAAATAAAGGTAAGAAGATCTGAGATCTGAGGAAATCATTTTTATATACAAAATTCAAGTGCAATAATAGAAATACAAGTTCAATAATAGAAATTCGAGTGCAATAATAGGAAAATATTTTTTTTCAATTAATTACCTTATTGATATCCAATCCTCAGCCAGGAGGGATAACTCTTTACTTTAAAAAGTATCTAAATTAAGCTTGAAGTTTTCTTTGAGTTTTACATGAAAGATATGGAGAAAACGAACATTATTCAAGATCAAAATTCCTTTAAAAAATATCAAACGGGAGCAGAGCAAACATGAACCCCAAAATCATAAGAGGTGGGATCAGTTGCCACGGAGACCCGTCAACCCCGCTGTGAATTTCTTGTCATGATCGGGAGATAACGAAAACATCCGTCGTCAATTCACTGTATAAATGATGGACTAAAAATTAGTATGAAGAACGTCAGACAGCATTTGACTCAGTGTTAAATTGTTTTTGCTGACAAGGTCATCGAATCGACAATAGAACCTTATGACTTTAAAAGAAACTGCTGATATTCTTTCTTCATCAACGTGTTTGTCATTAATTTACCTCGTTTTAGAAATTGTTTATACCTAGAGCATGCTCTTGCGTATCGAATCAAATGACATATATGAACTCCGTATGCAGGTGATAAAGGTATGTTGCTGCATAAGTAAGGGAAGTTGATGATTGTAAAGTTAAAGTCATTACGTTTCCAGTAACATCTTTTTCAAGTAAAATATCCAAATATGAAACAAATGTGTCAGATTCTGTGGTATCTTATATCTCAAGCTTACCAGAATAAATCGAATCGACATAACAATAGAAATAACAAAAATTGTAAATTGACAATACTAAGTCGATATATCTAAATGTTGATTTGAAGGTCACACCAAGTGTTTTCTTCTTTTTACTCACAAGACTTTGGACAAATTCTGCTACATTAAAATACAAAAATAGGTCTGCTAATATCAAGGCGCAATCGGTACCCATGGGAAATACAATTCCAACAGTTTGTTGAAAGACCAGTCCTCCAAAACAACATAGATAATGTCAATCAGAGAGTAAAACTTTTTTTATTATATCAACTTGAGTACACAATCAGAATGATTTTACCAAAATAATTTTGCAAATAACCGATGACAAGCTATGGTAAGTAAACTTTTGAAGTCCGCTTTCATTTAAAATGGAGCTGACATTGATATAAAAAGTCTGGACTTAAATTTATCGTGGGGAATGTTTGTGTATAAAGTTGATATGTCGTAAGTCTTTAAGCTTTAAAGTAATATACGCTATAACGTGCGCCATTTTAAAATACGGCTGGAAATTTATATATTTTGTTTACCAATAAAAGTTACGAAAATGCTGTAAACTACACCATTTAAATAAAATTCGTTACAAAGTTATCAAATTATAATTATTTATTATCCTGCAAGGAGAATAATGTCTATTTTTAAGTAAATCCACCAAGTGACGCCGTCGCTACTTTTAGATTGATAAACAAACACGGCGTCAAGAAAACGAGGTAAGCCCTTTGAGATACAACTCACTTTTGACATGTTACTATTAATATAACTTATCTTTAAATGTATTCAGTATCAACCATCTATACTCTGTTATGACGCATATTAACCTTTTATTAGTCCCCTACCGGTGAAACAAGAGGGGACTATAGGTTTTCTCTGCGTCCGTCCGTCCGTCCGTCTGTCTGTCCCCGTCAGTCTGTCCCACTTGGTTTTCCGCACTTTTTTTCTAAACGCTTGCAGATATTGAGCTGAATTTTGGTAAGTGAGTGTATCCTAATAAATTACAGATCAAGTTTGAATTTCGTTTCGCTTCATTGATTTTTGACAGAATTATGGCATTTTGAATATTTTTCATTCCCACTTGGTTTTCCGCACTTTTTTTCTAAACGCTTGCAGATATTGAGCTGAATTTTAGTAAGTGAGTGTATCTTAATGAGTTACAGACCAAGTTTGAATTTCGTTTCGCTTCATTGATTTTTGACAGAATTATGGCATTTTGAATATTTTTCATTCCCACTTGGTTTTCCGCACTTTTTTTTTAAACGCTTGCAGATATTGAGCTGAGTTTTGGTAAGTGAGTGTATCTTAATGAGTTACAGATCAAGTTTGAATTTCGTTTTGCTTCATTGATTTTTGACAGAACTAGAAAACTGACCAGTCAGCAAGGGCCCCGCCATGGGGTAGAATTAAAAGGGTGCAGCTTACAGAATGATTAATAAATGTACAAAGAAAAAGCAACAGCAACTGTATTCTTAAAATTTCAACATAATTCCTGAATATTCAAAAACCTGAAAATAATATTCTTGTATTTAAATTAGGCAGTAAAGAACAACTTAACATTGAATTTATATTTAAATAATTATGAATCTTGTGTTATATAAAATGCCAGCCTTCAATGAATGCAAATATCATGAAGGCTTGGCCTTAACTTCAAACAAACAGCAGTTGCAGACAAAGGTTTTCATTAATCTTAAAGTGACAGATAAAGAGAAACCTACTAAATTTTCTGCAGCAGGCTAGATAATTAATCCCAAGGGATTAATTGTACCTCTCTCATCATTTTCTTCTAAAGTTACAATAAGAACTTTTTCAGTATTAATGATAGAATGGGGTTTTTATACAACTACATTAAAAATTAAAAACATTCTTGAATTAATATATTTAAAAAAAAAAAGGAAAAAAGTGAAAAAAAGTACCCTGGTAAATCAAAAAATCTTCTTTAATCTATTTCTTTTTTTAGGATCCAATGAAATCATAACTATCAAACAAAAATAAATAATAAAAATTTATATTTAAATCCACATTTCAGAGTGTTCATAGCATTCCAAATTGATTTAACTTCAAAACAAACTTCATTTGCAGACAGAGGTGGTAATTAATCTCAATGTGACAGATAAAGATAATGCTCTGGATTTTCTTCAGGAGGAAAGCTAATTAATCCCATGGGACTCCTAGTAGTATTCAGTTTACTGAATGGGAACATCTTCAGCAGTTATCTCTCTTTGCCAATGCATTCTTATATAAAGTTAAGGAATCTACCCCACCACCCCAGCTCCAAACCAAGGGACATAGAGAACCAAACTTAGCATCAAAATATGTATTTTTGCCTACTGAACTACCGTACCAAATTTGATCTTAATTGGGCAACCATAAAAAAAGTTGCCCGTTATTCTTATGCATAGTTAAGGAATCTACCCCACCACCCCAGCTCCAAACAAGAAGACATAGAGAATCAAACTTAGCATCAAAATATGTATTTCTGCCTATTAAACTACCATACCAAATTTAAACTTGATTGGGCAACCATAAAAAAAGTTATTAGAAAAAAACAGAAAATTTGTGGACGGAAGAGTGACAGACGGACAGACAGACAGACAGACAGACGGACGGACGGACAGACAGAGTGATTACTATAGGGCACCCGCAAATCCTTGCGGGGCCCTAATTATGGCATTTTGAATATTTTTCATAATCGCTTAATTAAGATCGGGTTCGAACTGCGCTAACTTCCGATTGTCGACAAAAATAAGAAGCGAGGAAAAGACGATGGATAAATGAGTTGAATTGTCGTCTTAATGTTTATTATTTTAATAGATTTAAGGCATTTACAACTTGAAAATCTTTCAGTTTAACCTTGGACATGACTTTTGCACATTAAAAAATGACATCCGGAAGAAAAAGGGGAACCCGGTAGGGGACATGTATTGCTTATGCAATACTCTCAGAATGCTTGTTAATAATCGTTGTCAAAATGCAACGTGCTTCGTTGTCTATTATTTCCCGTGGACATACGTGTCTATATTTAGACCTACTGCTTACGCACTTCCTTTATCAATATTCATGAAAAGACTGAATTCTTGATTGCAGATATCGCTTTATTGTTCTGTTATTACAACGAGTTTTATAGTTAAATTTTGTGGAAAAATAATTTTTTCATTACACTTTATGTGTTTCAAATCATTTAATCATTTTGTTTCACATACAAATCGGCATCCACACGGCGTATATTACTTTAAGAAAATTGTTTAAACAAAAATGAATTCTGTGATTAAATTTGGTGCAGTTCATTACACTAGTTCATTAGTCTTGTACAATTTAAATTGCTAATTATTCTATTTCCTTGTAGTGTGTGGATATTGTATTTTTTTGCCCGAAGTCACACTAAGTATTTCCAGTAAAAATCCTGTCCTGCGCCCAATCTCCTCTTATGTAGCCTTAAAAGTACAGCTTCACGATGATTTTATTTAAGTTCATATCCTTTTAAAGTTCCAGTGCATATTTCTATTGATTTTTGTTTGTGGTAATAATTATTTTTTCAAGGTACACTACTCTCGGAGAAGATCAGAAGTCACGTGTCTAAAGACCTTACTTGTAACCAAGACAGCCATGCAGTAATCAGGTGTGACAGCAAAGAATTGCTGAATTATTCATATTTTAAATTCATATAACGTAATGTCTGTAGAGATTATATAACGTAATGTCTGTGTGGATTATATAACGTAATGTCTTTATAGATAATAAAGATACATGTAATGCCTATACATATTTACCTTTTAATGTCAACGATGCTCTTTTACGTTTTTTCTGCACCTAAAGCATTAACGCGTTTTATAAATCACTTGCTTATGGGATACAAGAGAACATACAACATTTTCTGTAACTATAAAAGCTCAAAGTTTTTCGTAGAATGTTAAGAATTTCAAAGTATAAAAAAAAATATGAATTACTGCAGAATTTTGATAAAATTATAATATTTAAAGTGAATAATTTTTAGCTACATGTATCTTCTAATGGTTTTATCTTTAGTATAAAATTCTGTTGAACATGAAATAAATGTCCCAAGCTTTATAGTATTATATAGTCTTGGGTATGACACTTCGATTGCATGCACCCATTTTACTATACATTGTAGTGGAAATACAATGTAATAATGCTCTTGTGTATATGTCAGTGTGGGCGTGTGTGCGAAAAGAAATTTGAAGTAATCTGCATTAGGATCGGTTTTGAATGCTACTTAATTTATCGATATATAGCATATAGATGCCCTATGCATCAAATTGACAAAAAAACCCACTTTTTTTAAAAGTATTTTTATTAAAAGTAATCTGAGTCATGAAAAATTAAAATCTTGACAAGAATACAGGCTATTTTATAACAACTCCTTTTGTAGGCATGGTGAAAAGCGGCGTATTCTTGGATCTGAACACGAGTACTTTCAGTCTTATTATGCGAAAAAGGGCCTTCTGCCTGTTTACAACCGTCTGAGACATGATGGATTAATAGATGACTGGGGGCCACTAGGGGCAACATCATACAGCGACGCCATTGCTAGGTCAACAGATTATTACAGATTGCAAGCAGAATCAGGTGAATTGATTTAGCTAACATTTTTAGGCTTGGAATGATTGCTTATGATACACTATACCTTTACCTTAAGTATAAAACTCTTACATTTAAAGGCTTGGAATGTTTGCATATGATGCACTATACCTTTACATGTTTCATTTTCTTCCATGCATTAATTTTTATCCATGAAAATGGCCTTATAGATAATCCAACTGATTGGTCAACACTTGACCATTTCAAGTACTAAAATAAAATAGCGACTTGGTGCTTTCATATCCGATTGAAAAGGTTCCTTCGGATGAGACCTTAGAAACCGAGGCCCCCTGTCAGCGGCAGGCATTGGCACTATAAAGATCCCTCACTGCTTAGTGGCCCTGAGTGCCGAGTAAAGGTAAAAAAAATTGAAGCCCTTCACCGGCATACGGTGACGTCTCCATATGAGTGAAAAATTCTCGAGAGGAACGTTTAACAATATATATTCAATCCTATTAAAAATTTTCGCCTAAAAGTCCAGGTTTTTCGGAACTGATCTAATGAAGTTGCAATGTTCTTGAATTTTAAGGTTTACAGGTATAATTGAGTACTTTTCAATAAAGAACAATAATATGAGCGCACTCTCCAATCTAAAAAATAAACATGTCTTTTAATACCCAGAAACAGTTTTATCTTTTCATAATTGCACATTTTAGATCAGAGGTTGCACTCTAAATCAAATATCGAAAAATAGCTTTGAAAAGTCGCCGTTTTGTAGACGTTTTTTTTAGAATATGAGGAAATTGGCGAATTTCATGACGACATAATGCATTGACAAGCCAGACAATTACGTCATTTTTGATAGATACGCAGTCACAAAAGATCTAAATGATTTATCAATGCATTGTTATCTAAAACTATGTAATTTCATTTTTTTTTCTCTGAAATTCACAGGGCTAAATAAGACAAAATTGAACGTTGTTCTTTTATATCCTTTTCTAAAACTAAGACTTGCATGTGTAGCAGCAAAACAACATTGACGACTGAAGACAGTAGTTAACATAGATTAATTGATTTTATATTGTTTAACGTCCATCTTGAGAATTTTTCACTCGTTTTGAGACTCAATCACTTGCCGATTGATAGCTGCAAAATCTATCCTATACTCGGCAATCTGGACCATTAATCATGAGCAGAGAGGGATTTGTTCGTGCCAGCACCTATTGCGACACGTGACCTCAGTTTATACGGTCTCATCCGAAGGACCGGTCTCCACGTCCCACAGTGAGATTCGAACCCGCGACTGAAGGATCCACTCCTTAATTCGCAGTTGACATTGAAACTTGAATGAGACTTTTTATAATATGTTCGTCACATGGTGTTTTTATTTAAACATTTAAATATCGGTATAATTGGCTAAAAAATGTATTTTCACTATTATGATCAATTAGAGCATTTATCCCACTAAATGACAGACCTTTCAGATTACAATATAAAGATCATAAAACAATATAAAACAGCTGAGCAAACATGGACCCCAAAGCGTCAGAGGTAGGCTTGGTGCTATGGAGTTGTGAGCATTCTCTGCCGACCGGCCATGTTTACCGTGTGCTCCTTGAACAGGAAAATCCGTTGTCAATTCAGTGTATAAATGAGGAAAAACCTTGTCTTCCGTTGGAGCTTAGAAAACTTTTTAAGAAAAGAACATTGACCATACCTAAAAAACCTTGTAAGAGAAGGAACTTTCATGTTTCGCTAGAAAAAGACTGTAATACTTGAATGTGTGACCTTGATCTTTTCATTTGTACTAAGCAATAACTAACTCTTTTAGAGTTAAAATTGAGATTTAAAAAATTAGGTTCAAAAACTTCAAAAATTATGCCATTAAAAACTCTCATCAATATGCATTTTCCAGTTTGATTACAGAAAATGGTATGTTTAAAATTGAGCTAAACACTAATTTAGATAAAGGTATATTGCATGTATATAAAGTCAAGTTTAAAAAAATGTTAATGTTGGCATAACTCTAATTAATCAGTATATAAAGATTGATAAAAATATCTTGTTTATCCATGAAACTAGCTCTGAACTGATTTAAAGGCAAAGTGTAGAAGGAGAGACGGAAGGACATGAAAGTAAAATGAAGCGTCATTAGATAAACACAATTGATTGGCCATATTCATGGCAGGGCATAACATTTCATTATGAATTGGTTTACATAAAATAGTCGTAACTTTCAGTGCTTTCATACCTATTAAACTACATTGTATACATGCATGTACAAAAAAAAATCAACCGACTGACATTTTTAGAAGAGAGACATTGTATTCATTTTAAAGGATAATTATGTGATGAGTGAATTTAACAACCTGAGTCGGTCCATGAAAATTATTTTGGAATGTCTTCACAGCTGCGTGGTTTTTCGGTAGAATGAAATTAGTATTTTTTGAAATATTTAAATAATTCTTTTATTGAGAGCCGTGATATATTAAACAATGTATAATAGCTGTTCGGATATAATGCCGTTTAAAGGTCCAACACCTTTCTTTTAATATATTAACCAAAGGTTCTAGTGATCTTTTTTCTATATAGTCGAAATGCATGGGAGAAAGACGTATTCGTTCAAAAACAAATTAATGAGTTGTGTTTTTCAATACAGACACTTTTTTCTTCTTTTGAATTGTGAATTGCCGTTTATTTTGTTTACAAGCTCGTGTTCATACCGCTGTTCATATACCAATGTGAGAGGAGAAAACAAGAATTTCAAGCAACAATGACTGAAAACGTTTATATACATTGTAATCATTATACAACCAAATTTCAGAGCGAATCAATAATTTAAGTACCTAGTTAAATACAAAGAAATTCAATAATGAAGGAAAGAATTTAATTTACATTTTATGATAAATAGGCAGTAACGAATTTTCTAATTTTGTAAAATCGTACCTTTTTCTGGATGTATATTTTGGAATATGTAAAAGTTCATACATATAAAACATGTGATTATTATGCTGCGGTAGCGGCCAATCTTTTTGTGATTGTGTTGAGAGTGCACACGCATGTCACTTTTTTTTATTACTTCAATAAAATAATTCGTAAATGATAACAAGTAAATCTCAATACTTAATATTAACTGTTGAAATATATTTCAATTTCATTGCCATTAATATCTCATGATCATCGATAATTTATGGTCATAAAAAAGAGTTTACGTCAGATACTCCACAGCCTGTGAGTGTGTAAGATTTGAAAAGAAATATTTTGATTTTCCGGATAATGATGATGTGGTTAAAGTGCATGGTGAATAAAAAAATTTGAAAAAAATTACATTACAAATGACACAAAGATCATGAAGATATATATTTTTTTAATTTTGCACTGCGGTTTGCAGCATAGTTTGCTCTGCAGAAACCATGAGCATTATCACCTAATCAAGATCTAAGGTATCGAGGCTCGGACAGGCCTACACCTTCATTTTGATGACAATAAATTCTTCTTATACATCAATGAACATGTTTTTTTTAAACATCGATAAATCTATTTATGAGCAAATGCGGTAAAATTATTTTTTTATTTTGCTTTGAAAACAGCCTGAAAAAGAATTGAAAAACTATTTCAGCTTAGAATATCTTGACGTGCTTTCCTTGCATGTGAAAGAATTTTTTTGATTTGCAAACAATTTGATGCTTTGCATCAATTAAATTCGTTATGACATTGTACATGTAAAGGCACGTAAAATATTCTGTTTATTGCACGAAATAGTATACCATTCTGTACAATATCATTTTAAGTTTATTAGCAAATAACTGCAATTTCAAAAGTGCGTAATTTCATGTTGGATTTCCTCCTCTGAATTAGAAACGTTAACTCCACTTACAATTATCATGCATGCGTACATGTAGTTTAAGATTCATAAAACAAACCACTTCGATAAATAAAACGGTGTAAACCTAGCTCGGTTTTTTTTTTCGGCTATCAAAAGGCATAAAACTTGAAATGAATAAATGCACAAGCGATTACGATTGATTAAAAGCTGAAATAGAGTGAAATTGAATGATATGAAAGGAGTCGACATGATTTCAAAACCAATTTTCCATTTGTAACTATCGGAGTACACAACGGATTCTCAAATCGAAATACCCGCTGCTATCTGCGGACACGTGCTTGTAAATGAGGACTGGGCTACAAAATTTTAGACACCAAGTGACAAAGCATGGATGTAAACATGTTTATTACAAATACGTGAATAATAGTTTTTATTTTAAAGTATTTTTTAACGTTCAATGTTTATTTATATCGAAAAAATAATGGAGAAACAAAAGAGTGATGGTAAAAATAAAACGTACATAATAGTACATTTTCACAAGACTTCCATCACTAATTATAATTATTTCGAAGATTTTCAATTACAATTTTAAAATACATTAACACGAATAGAGAAATAATTTTGCGTGAACAGGCCAAAGAAACGATACAATTCAAGAATGATTTATGCACCAGTGTTTCGAATTACGATTAAATGAGAGATCGGTAAGTATTATTATTCATCGATAAATTAAAAACATGATTTTCTATAAATTGATAGGTCTTTGTACACAATGGATTTTAAACACGATCACAGACACTTGCATTGTTTACGACAGGTGGCTGGTACATAGTGACCGATAGACAGCGTGGGATTTGCACGTTGGAACATAATCGTAATACCCAAATGTGTACAACTTATTGAAAACCCAAAATATAATGATCGTAAAGTAAAAAGGTGCACAATCACACAAAGTTAAAAGATTTATAATTGTTATAATTCAATGTAGAAAGTAGTATAAGGGAAGACTGCTGACATTAGAATAAATAAAAAAAGAAAGACTAGTCGTTATAAATAATTTAAAACCGTAAAGATAAAGCCCTATTTAGAAGAAAATTAACATTGAATACCATAGTATTTATTAGATAGGAACGTAAATTATAGGATTAAGAGGTCTGATTTATTTTCCGAATACAAAATGTACCCATTCCTTTTTCAACGGAGTATGTCATAAACTGCTGTACGTATATCCAACACAAAACATTTTCCGATTATAAATTTTAGAACAATTTTGGTCTATAATCTGATTGAAATATCAACGTTTTTGAGTTATAAAGCAAAAACTTTCAAGACTAAATAATCATAGGACCAGCCCCTTTTGAAAGAAATATGAAAGCTCTTGCAATTATGCACAACTTTTGTTCAACAATAACAAAATTTTTTAGTTTTCAATATAAAAAGGAAAACTGTGTAATTAAAATTTTATCGTTTTTTTTTATCTTATGTAATGTAGGAAATCGAAAAACAAAATGTGATGCACAACCAATCCTTCTGTTATTAAAACCAGTAAAATTTCTGCTCCAGCCTATGGTCGTCAAGATGCTAGAAAACATGGTGGTAGTGTTTAAAGGGAAATAATCAAACCGGAAGTGAATTTTTGACAACTGACAGCATTCTGATGGAGTTAATTACCGTCTATAATGTTTGGTGAACAAAATCCATCGAAAATTGGTATCGTACTCAAATGGAAGGAAAAACAGAATAATAAGAATAATCGTAATCTTCAGGAGTAGAAGGTCTTCCGTTGGAAACGGAAGACCTTAATTAGTATGAAAAACATCAGTCAGCATTTTACTCATGATAAATTGTATTTTACTGACAAGATATCGACCATAGAACGTACGAAATGATTACTAAAACAAGGTGGTTGTAATTTTTGTACCATTAATTTGTTTCTCAATGATTTACCTCGGTTTAGAAAATGTATAGACGCAGAGCATGCTCTTGCGTATCAAATCAACTAAGAAACATAAAATCCTTATGAAGGTTATGAAGAAGTAAGGGTTGTTGACGATGGAAAAGTTAAAGTCATTACATTAATCATTGAGCTTTATTGTTAGATTAATGTTTTTTTCTCGTGGTCCTGTTGAATATCCGTCAGTCTCACAGAAATAATCGTAGTACCCATGCATGTTTGCTATTGAAAACCCAAAATATAAGTCGGGTCAAAACATAAATTAAAAAGGTGCACAATCACACAAAGATTCTTGTTACAAAGATTCTGTGAATGTCTAAATTCAATTTAATTCAGTGGTATAAGGGGAGCTGCGGACAAGACATGGGTACCCAAAACCGTAACAGACAGACAGACAGAAGAAAACTGACGGACGGACAGAAAAACGAACGTGGAGACGGACGGACATTCCTACAAATGTATCACTTTTTCAAGTGGAGGGTGTCATAAACTGCTGTACGTATATCCAAAGCAGAAGAGATTTCCGATTATAAATTTTATAATGGTGCTATTTGAAAAAATAGCATTGAAAAAATGAGTGTTTTCTGAATATGTACAATTACTAATTTTCTTAAATGCGTAAACTCTCGAATTAAAATTTTATCTGTTTTTTTTTTATCTTGATGTAATGTAGGCCAAAATGTGGATGCCCCAATAAAGCTAATTGAAGAAATCCTAGCCTATCGGCGTCAAGATGCTAGAAAACATGGTGGTGGTGATAGGGGTCATAATGCAAACATCGACAACTGGCAGAATGGACTGGAGCGAATTCAGGGTGGTCAAGATCGATTTCGAAATTGGTATCGTACCAATGTAAGGAGGAACAGGAGACATCGTAATTCGAGGAGTAGAAGGGAGGGTGGAGTGAGAAGGACATTCGAGGAGTAGAAGGGAGGGTGGGGTCAACATGGAGGAGTAGAAGGGAGGGTGGAGTGAATAAGAAGACATTCGAGGAGTAGGGAGGGTGGAGTGAGAAGAAAGACATTGAGTAGAAGGGAGGGTGGGTGAGAAGAAAGACATTCCAGGAGTAGAAGGGAGGGTGGAGTGAGAAGACATCGACATTCGAGGAGTAGAAGGGAGGGTGGAGTGAGAAGACTTCGACATTCGAGGAGTAGAAGGGAGGGTGGAGTGAGAAGACTTCGACATTCGAGGAGTAGAAGGGAGGGTGGAGTGAGAAGACATCGACATTCGAGGAGTAGAAGGGAGGGTGGGGTGAGAAGACATAGACATTCGAGGAGTAGAAGAGAAGGTAGGGTGAGAAGAATTCGACATTCCAGGAGTAGAAGGGAGGGTGGAGTGAGAGAGTCCGTCGGCAAGGCAACAGAAGAAGAAGGAGTTGATTTCTTCAGAGCAGTCGACGAAGTGAAGGACGATTTATTGTTGTATGTAGAGAATATTTTCAAAATTCATATCAAATTCTTCACTATTGTCGGACGTAAAACAATTACATATGAAAAACAAATACTTTAGGACTTTCATTTAAAAATTGTAGACTAATATGTTGTCCAATTTTTTTTATAGCTGCATTCTGTTTGCCCTTTCCCGATTCCGGATAAAAACATTGGATTGGTAGGTAGGGTCAGGATAAAACATTGGGTTGGTAGGTAGGGTCAGAATAAAAACATTGGGTTGGTAGGTAGGGTCAGAATAAAAACATTGGGTTGGTAGGTAGGGTCAGGATAAAAACATTGGGTTGGTAGGTAGGGTCAGAATAAAAACATTGGGTTGGTAGGTAGGGTCAGAATAAAAACATTGGGTTGGTAGGTAGGGTCAGGATAAAAACATTGGGTTGGTAGGTAGGGTCAGAATAAAAACATTGGGTTGGAAGGTAGGGTCAGGATAAAAACATTGGGTTGGTAGGTAGGGTCAGAATAAAAACATTGGGTTGGTAGGTAGGGTCAGGATAAAAACATTGGGTTGGTAGGTAGGGTCAGGATAAAAACATTGGGTTGGTAGGTAGGGTCAGGATAAAAACATTGGGTTGGTAGGTAGGGTCAGGATAAAACATTGGGTTGGTAGGTAGGGTCAGGATTTTTTTAAAAAGTCAAACACATATGAAAATGTGAAGCTTAAGTAGCTATACATGAATTAAAAGATAATTTTTCATGGAGGTCAAAACAAAGTTTTGACTCGGGCTATTTAATTTTTAATCGATCGGTCAGTACGGGGCAAAGAAACCTAATTATTCTACTTTTCAATGGAAGTTAGAATTCTAGAACAAAAATTGCTATCATATTTACAGTCTATGAGAGAGTACTTTTCCCGGTAAACAACGGGAATAATAAGGAACTAGATCGATTTATTGCTTGATTTTATGTTGTTTAACGTCCCATTTGAAAAAAAATAAACCTGATAGAGAAGTCACCATATGCAGAGGAAAGGCTTCAACGTTAGACCTATACACGGCACTCAGAGTCTCTTTACCGGTATTTCAATGTTCAACCCGTAGTTTAAAAGGGATATCTTAAAGATCTATAATAAAACTCTGGTTAGGCAAAACATTGTATGATGATACTTGACTATATTTACATCAATACATTTGATAACTATGTTTGATCAAACAAAAAAGTAAGATAAAATGGAACAGATTTCAGAAGTAATATAAATGTAATTTATTTAGTTTGCTAGAATGCTTTAATGAAAAAAAATAATCAAATGTGCGCAAGTTTTAAAGGATTTTAATCCAGTCACTCCTTAAAGCAACGACAGATTCTCGCTCAAACAAGGCACGGCTGACAAGGTAACTGGTCATTACTAACGAAAATTCAGTTTTACATCAAAGAATCATTTGATACTTGATGAGTGAAATAGTTAAAGGAAGAAAAACGGATGTTCAACGCTGTTAAAAATACCAAAGGATGTGTGTAAGGACACCCATACCTGTATTTCTTCGTTTGTGTCCCAACTTCATGTAAATGGCCCGTTTATCAATGTGAAATAAAGTTATTAACAGTGAATTAATGGAATTAAAGTTTCGTGCCACGGATTCACCAATATTTCCTCATCATTCCTCATTCTAAGTTTGATTTTTCAGGCAGAAGGCTTTTGTAAGGCTACTTATTTCTCTGCGTCGCCTCTGTTTTATCAGCAGCGTCCAATACGTTGAATCTTATTGGACACCTATAGGCAACTTATTAGACGGAGTGCAGAAAATATGAAATTTACAGGACTAGTTTTAATAAAATCTTCTGTAAGCCATCTATAATTCGGGCCATCTTTCATTGACAATTCGTCAGTTCAAAATTAATCCGCGAGTTAACATGTGACTTGCATGTAGAAAACATTCTTTACAAATACAAAGCAAAATTAATGGTCTGTGTCATTTATTATTCGCGGATGAACGTAAATTAAATCGCTCATATTTCTTGCATGTGAACAAAAGTTGGTTAACATTAATTACAAAGACCTTTATGATATCAATATGTGTATGTACACGTGTCTAACTAGCTAATTAGAAAGGCCTTTAAGTGTATGACAGTCACGTGTGTTTATTACAAGGTTGAAATTCTTCTTCAAACAATTTGTCAGTTTTTCTTATATTCGAAATTGTTCTCATGAAAAGAATGGTGTTGTGTATTGAATCAACTGAGAAACATTAATCCAACATACGATAAGGGAATTCAGTTGACGATTGAAACTTTGACTCATCACGTTTATTATAGAGCTTGGTTTTTAGGTTAACTTTAACAAATATCACAATATAAAACAGATATCATGTTCACTGGGATGTATCGAGTCGAATTACGGTTGAAAGTTACTATTCAAAATAGGTAACACGTCGTCAGTTTATGTAAATGTCGATTGATTGATTGAATATAATTGTATTTTGTTTAATGTTCCTCTCGAGAATGTTTCACTAGTATGGAAACGTCACCGTATGCCGGTGAAGGGCTTCAAAGAGCCATAGCTGCCTTACCGTCGACTCGTCCTACTCAAGTATTTAAAAGGAAATCACCTGTTTCTATTTATAGATACATATGCCTTTTCAATTCAAAATCAAACTACATGTATGTAATCATTTGTGAACCAGTGTTATATTTTCATAGTTGCAAGTTTGTTGCATGACAGTAATTTTACTTGTCCAATGCTCTTATTCTAAACAAGATTGTTTGAAAATTTTAAAAATAAAACAGGCTAGCAGTTATGACTTTGGGTCATTAAAATAGTTTAAGACTGTTTTCCCCAAGATACTTGTAATGTTGTATAATATATCTCTTTTAAAAATTATTTATACATGTATTATAAAATAATAAACGAAAACATAGGAAAATGCACATAGAGAAAATAAAATCGTACTTAATTATTACGTACTGTGAGACTCGAACTCACGATCATTATGTCTTCAATCCAGCAATCATACCACTACGCCACGAAGTCTTGGATATAAAATGGATAACATTTAGACAGACTGTTGAATTTTGAAATAATTTTAAAGAAAAATTAAATACATATTTTCAATATGAAGACCACATTTAACCAAAATTATCTAAACGTAATGAAGTGCAGTCATATTCAAATAAAATTATTCAGAAGTTGTTTTTTCTGGTTAAGGGTGGTCTTTTCCTACAGTTTGTCATTGTTTAGGGGGATACCTCAGTGTTTACTATATCCTCCATATAAACTTAACGATTTTTATAACTATCATATGAGGGAACTATTAATAATTGAGTATTATTTTTGTGTGAGTTGCTGTAAGGCATGTATAAACTAACATTTTATGACAAAATTTTGGTTAAACAAAAATCACTACTAAAGTAGGCGAAAGTGACTATCAAATGCGCTATGGCTCTTTAGACCTATACTCTGCACTAAGGGCCATTGAGCAGTGAGAGTTCTTAACAATGTCAACGCCTACCTTGACACGGGACCTACGTTTTTAAGGTTATATCCGAAAGACCCGTGACAAAGAACAGTCACTATTTATGTTAACGTCTTAGATATAACGCGTCGCCTCGAAGGCGAATCCAATCCGGTTCACCCGATCACAAAGCAAACGCTCTACCACTAGGCTACCATGACCTATTGTAAATGTCGAGATGAAAGCCAGAGGATGTGTTTTCTTCTTTTTTATGTAGAATAATTTGAATTAAGCTCGCTGAACCAAGAAAGGCTTAAAAGGTCTTCTGATAAAGGAGCTCAATTGATACTAATGGGAATTCAGTCAGATTGTTTGGAAGACCTGATCTCCAAAAGCCACATACATATAGATATTCTCAATCAGAAACTCATTGGAGCATCTTTTAAATGTAAAATTCATAGTGCGTGTGTTTGCGTTCAGTTTCAGTTCCTGTTTACTTGAAAAAGACGCTAATGGTAATTAACAGCCAAGTTATATTACAAACGTGATGCCTTTAACTTTTGTATGGTCAACTTTTCTTACTAATGCAGCAATATATTTTTCACCTGCATACGGAGTGTATATATTTCCGTTGATTCGAGAGAATGGTCTTTGTATGAAAAATTTCTAAAATGAGGTCAATTATTGACAAGCAAGTTGATGAAACAATAATATCAGTAGCCTCGTTTTAAATTATCATTTCATGGTCGATACAATAACCTTGTTAGCAATTACAATATATCATTGAGTCAAATGTTGACTGATGTTTTTCATACTTATTGTTAGTCCATTATTTATTCACTGAAACGACAACGGATTTTTCCGGTTTTTTTAACTGATCATGACAAGAAGTACACGGCGTGTGTGACCGGTCAGCAGAAGATGCTCCCTCCTCCATGGCACCTGATCCCAGCTATGATGTTTTGGAGGTCCGTGTTTGCTCTGCTCCTATTTTATTTTGTTTTATGGACTTGATATAAAATACTGTTCGTTGTCTTCGTATACTTCTACCCAGGTATGTTTATTTACAAGTTCAATTTTAATTGAAAAAAGCAGCTGTCAATAACATTCATGTAGAATTAAATTTTAATCAAAGGTAATAACATGAAAGCATTAAACTTTATTCACAATAAAAAAACTATATACAACTTGTTTACTAGAAATTGTTTTTTGATATCTTCTGGTGTTATCTTCAAAATCATTGTGTAAAGAATCACTCTAAATTTACATCGTTCTTTTAGGTTGATAATCTTATTTTAACATCCATGAAGTCCTTGGAGACCAGGTCCCAGGATCATGAAACAAGACTTAAGTTCAATTTTCCAAGTTTTGTCTAGGCATCCACATTAAACCTCCTTAACAAACATCTTTTGGCTTAATTAATAGTTTTATGCTCCTGTCACTAAAGATTCGGGGCATGTAGTGTTTGCTCTGTCCGTCCTGCCCTATATTTTGCAAAATAATCATTATTAATTTGATTAATCTCTAATTTTGCCAATGACAACACTTGTAAAACAATATTGTAAAACGGTTTGGTTTTGGTATGTTTGACTTCTACAATATTTATGTACAACAGAAAGATTTTAACTTAAGCTTAACATGGTTCATGATCCCGGGGCCAGGTCTTGGAATT